GAGAATGACAATGCACCAATGGTGCTGTACCCAGCTCAGGACAGCACTCCAGCATCCAGCGAGCTGGTACCTGTGTCAGCTGAGGCAGGGTACCTCATCACCAAAGTGGTGGCTGTGGATGCAGACTCGGGGCAGAACTCGTGGCTCTCGTACCCCCTGCTGAGAGCCACTGACCCCGGGCTGTTTGTGGTGGGTGCCCAAAGTGGGGAGGTGCGGCTGAAGAGGCCAGTGACGGAGAGGGATGTCGTGAAGCAGAATCTCGTTGTGCTGGTGCGAGACAATGGGCGGCCACCACTGTCAGCCACTGCTGCCCTGAGCGCACTCCTGCTCAATGACTTCTCCGACGTGCGCCTACCGCACAGCAGCGTGGCCACGGAGGACGAGAGCGACTCCCTGACAACCTATTTAATCATTTCATTGACCTTTGTCTCACTCCTCTTCCTCGCCTCCCTCACAGCCTTCCTCACTCACAAGTTTTGCAGGAGAAAGGATCTCAAGGATGGACAAGTACTTTATGGCACCAGCAACTTGCAGAGTGACCTGGTGGATGCAGCCATGGCTGGGACCCTTCCCCATGGCTATTGCTATGAGATCAGCCTCACAACAGGCTCAGGCAACAGTGAGTTCAAGTTCCTGAAGCCCATCGTCCCCAGTCTGCCACCACAGCAGTGCACCATTGGTAGGAGTACCAATGATGGACAGGATTTCCCCCATGGCTCCATCACTGCTGAGGACATGGCAGCAGACAACCATGGGATGCTCTCTGCAGGACAGTTCAATAGTCTTTCCTTTAATTAGCGTGGAGTCAGCACAGGCAGAGGTTTTCTATATGATGATAGGACGTGATCCATTTTACAACATTTGGCATTGGTTCCTACCAAGTTATTATGGATTTATGATTACAGTGAGTAATTTCGCTCAAAATCTAAGCCAGAAAAAATTTTGTCTCTCTTTCCAAAATACAAAGAAGGAAAAGCAACTAAGTTTCCCTTTTTCTGACAATAATATGTTTTAGCTCCTTTATGGCCACTTATGAAATTCTTTGAGAGCAGGAGTAGATCTAGTGCTCCTGACTAAATTCTTTTTTCACTTGCTGCCAGTCAAGACTGCGTACTTCTTATTCTGTGCTGCAACACTGTGACAGAATCATGCTGATAAATCACATCCATGCTGAAATATTCATAGGCCTCCTCTAGTGTCAGAAAAGCAAGGAAGTTGTGAGTAATGTGTTACAATGTGATGCAAGCACTGGGTTCTTTCTTTGGGTGCTGGATGTCTGTCTCTGAGATGTATGGGCTCTGTGTGGTTGTCTTCTCGTCATCTATGTCTCTCTGGACAGCTATTGTGTGTCTTCCTATGCTGCACTAGTGCTGTCCGGAGAGCTGCTCACATCTAACTACTATGATGGGCACAATCCAGCTCCTCAGGTAAGTATTTTTACCCTTTGATTACAGCAGTCTCATCTTCTCTAGGGGAGATCAGTAAAATGCAAAATGAGATTTTCCTTTGACACCTGACAGGAGGATGGATGGGCTGTGTCCTTGAGATTGCCTTGGAAATATAGCAGCTGAAATGGTGTTTGCATAGACTGTAACTGTTTGGAGTTATTAAAACATATTAATTGCCTTTGTGTGCATTGTAAGGAAATTTTGCAGGTTTCTTCAAAGGACTTTTTCTAAAGGTATAATCAAGATGAACTCAAAACAGGGCCATTGAGTTTGGTTTCATCATAGTAGTTCACAAATTCAGAGGCTTCTTGATGGGAGTGGAAACCTGTCCTAATAGGATTTTTTGTGGTTTTGTTAGAGTATTTGCGTTCTCCTTTTTCCCCTTTCTCCTTCTACTCTGTGACCTTTGTAGGTTTAAGCTTTGTCTTACTTATTCCTCTAAGGAAGGATTGTTAACCCAGGTATAATAATGGATTGAATGAAAGCAGTGTGATGCAGAACATTTGGAAACCCTGATGCTGTGTTATGCTGCAGTTATAAACTGTACCACTGTAAACTGGGATACCTTTGTGTGTAAAAATGAAATAAAGAGAACATCCAAATGGCATGTATGAGACAGTCTTTATAGAGATGTTTTTCTCTGGAAAAGCTCTGTGAAATTTTTAAAAAAGCCAGGATTTTTTTTCTCGTTTTGTCCCTTGCCTGAAGTAAGGTTGAGTGGGTCCATTTCTTCAGTTTGGAGATGCAGGTGATGGAGTATTCAGGAAAATTGTGGGGAGTAGGGAATTACTGGCAGGCCCGCATGGCTCTTTGGAGCACTGAGCTTCTGGTTTTCACAGGGCCCAGTTAGACCCAGGTAAGGGGAAACTGGCCCCTACCCTACGAGAGGCCCGTGGGTATGCAAATGCCTCTGCAAACCACTGAGGTGGGCGGATTGACTTTTCCAACTCTCTCAACATCTCCAGCTGCAGATGGCAACTCTGAGGTGTTCGGGTACACATTTTGATTCTAAATGTTTTTGGGGATGGATGGCACAACAACAGCATATATATTCCTTTGGGGAAGTGTTTGGGGGACTGCTAGGAGATGGGTAATTACCAGAATAATACTACTACCAGGGAGAGGATTCACCCTCAGGAAATGCAGAGGACTACAGCTGTGCCTTCCTTAAAGGCCCTCACAAGAAGGTAAGTCCTGAGGACATTCTGGTGCAGTGATGCTGACCAGAAGGCTGTTGTACATTAAGAATTGAGTGATCTACCATCCAGTTAATCTGGAAAGGCATAGGCCTTCCTGTGCCTGCATGTGCTGCATAAATCCCTGAACAACAGGAAGAACTCAGCCAGCTCATTGGGGAACTGATGGAGGAGAGGTGGTTATTGTGGGCATGCAAGAATCACTGCTTGGAAAATGCTGGGCTTTGGGTTCTGGTCTGGTGGTATATTAATGGTGTTTTGCATATTCCTCTATTTGTATTATTGTTATTGTTTTCCCCTTTCTGTTCGGTTCTGTTAAACTGCCTTTACCTCAACCCACAAGTTTTGTCCTTTTCTTCCGCTTCTTCCCCATTCCCCCTGCTGGAGGAGAGTAAGCAAAAGACTACGTGGTTCTTTGTTACCATCTGGAGCTAAACCATAATAGTCCTTTTTGGCACCCAACAAGGGGCATGAAGGGTTGAGATAATGACAGATCTGACCAGAGCATGTTAAAACGAATTTGTTATATGCATTTATTTTAATCATTAAATAGTCACTGCACAATGTTGCTTTGTTTGCTCGTATGAAAATTCTAATGTCACTGTGTTATGAATATTCTGATATCCTGTATGTACACCCCATGATGGTGTCCATCTCCTCTGGGAGAGGGATCAAGATTATAATTTTGCTGTCCTGTGTACTGTCAGTTTATGATATGATAACATCACTCTTCAGGCAGTTATGTTGATGTGTTTATGTGGCATTGATGTCCTGCTTGTACCTTGAGTACCATCTCTTGGAATTTATTAATAATTGCACCCAATCTATGGGAAAAGAAAAGGGGAGATACTTTCCCCAGCTTTTCCACCTCCTTTTTTTCATTTGGGCAGGGTACAACAGCTTTTGAGATTTTTTAATATCCTTGGGATGGTCAAACCAGCATGGTTCTATTGCTATGTATCCTGAATGTGTTTCAGGTCATGTTTAGGATTAAACAACTGTTTAAGAATACCACTCAGAGATTTGCCCCGAGGCTGGATACTCATGCGTAGCATGGCAAGTGGTAGAATATGGGTGGGTATTTCGAGAACTTCTCACCTCCAACAATTCGGAACTTCATCCCTGAACAGCTACAGGACCCTGATAAAGTGATAGAATACTTGAAGGGAAAATGCTGTGGCTGTTCCAGAGACCTACAACCTACTGGACTGTGCTGGGCCCTGGCCACTATCTACCGATCACTGCTTGATGCAATGCATCACCCTCAGGAGAAAGAGAGAGAAACCAGACTATCAGGCAGGACAGTTACCCCAGTTCCTCAGACAGGCACTGAGACAGGCACTGCAGCTATTCCAAACTCTGCACTGTGGCTACTCCAAGCCCTGCAACAGGCAGTGCAGCTGCTGAAAGCCAGGTAACAAGCACTGCAGCTGAACCAGAAAACTAGCCTGTGCAAGGATCAGGCACCCCTACACAGAAGAAGAAATACACAAAGAAATCAGTTTGCTTAATACAGGATGATGATGAACCAGGACCATCATGAGAACAGGATGAAGAGGCAGAACTGGAGATAATCATGCAGTCCCTATTCCTGAGTGAACTTTGGGATATGCAAAAGATTTGAGCCGCTATCCAGATGAGCACATTGTCACCTGGCTGCTCCGATGCTGGGATAACCAGCCTAGTAGCTTGGAACTAGAGGGTAGGGAAGCCAAGCGGCTGGGATCCCTGTCTAGGGAAGGGGGCATTGACAAGGCAATTGGGAAAAAAACACAAGCCCTCAGCCTCTGGAGCAACTCCTGTTAGGCATGAGGAAAAGGTATTCCTTCAGTGAAGACGTTGCATGTCATCCAAGCAAATGGACAACCATGACGAGAGGTATCCAGTACCTGAGGGAATTAGCCATGTAAGAGGTAGTTTATTATCTATCACCTGGACAACACACAGTTACCCACAGACTGATGAAGTCCAATGCACGTGGCCCGTGTGGTGGAAGTTTGTACTGAGTGCACCATCATCATGGAATGCCAGTTCATTGACAGTGATGGAATTCAAAGATGAAGAAGGACCAATGGTGGATGAGGTAGCTGGCCAACTCCAGTGATAGATAATAAGAAAGTCTCTCTTCCTCCCTCATTTCAGCTGTGGAGAAACTTTCCTGGAAGGTCCAGCAACTCAAAGATCCTACTCCCCACCTGTATGGGACAGTATCTCAGCTCTTAGCAGTAGGTGTCTCTCTGCTCAAGAGACCAGACATAGAGGGTACTCACCACAATGCACCTTGTGGTTTTACCTGTGTGACCATGGAAAGGACATTAGGAAGTGGGATGGAAAACCTACCCTGACCCTAGACGCACAAGTGTATGAGTTGCAAGGACAAAAGGGAAATCTGAGAAAAGCACCTCTGCAGTTTCTAGCAGAGAGTTCCCCAGACAGAGTAGAAGGCCCTATCTTACTTCTGATCCCATCAAAGGGACTTCTAAGTCATTTTTGCAAGAAGTGAGTAGTGGATACTATGACTAAGATTACACAGGTCCTGCCTACAGCCAGGTAGAGGAAAGAGACAACCAGGTTTAATGGACTGTGTGAATTCGATGGCCTGGCACACCAGACCCAGAGGAGTATAAGGCTCTAGTAGACACCGGTGCACAGTGTATCTAATACCATCAAGCTATAAAGGGGCAGAACCCATCTGTATTTCTGGAGTGATACAGGAATCCCAACAGCTGACTGTATTGGAAGCTGAAGTGAGCCTAACTGGGAATGAGGAGTGGCAAAAGCCCCCCACTAAGACTTGCACAGAGGCCCTGTGCATCCTTGGCCTAGACTGCTTCAGGAGAGGGTATTTTCAGGACCCAAAGTGGTACCAGCGGGCTTTTGGCATAGCTGCCTTGGAGACAAAGGAAATTAAACAGCTGTCTACCTTGCCTGGTCTCTCAGAGGACTGTTTGTTGTGGGGTTGCTGAAGGTTGAAGAGCAATAGATAACAATCACCACCCCAACGCTTCATTGGTGATGATATCACAATAACTGAGACCTTTTGATTCCCATCCATAAGCTGATTTATCAACTGGAGACCCAAGGAGTGATCAGAAAGACTCTCTCACCCTTAAATAGTCCCACATGACCAGTGAGAAAATCTAATGGAGCGTGGAGACTAACAGGGACTCTCATGGCCTGAATGAAGTCACACTCTCACTGAGTGTGACAGAATGTTAGAATTTCAATACAAACTGGAGTCAAAGGCAGCCAAGTGGTATGCCACAATTAATACTGCTAATGTGTTTTAATTCCTTTAACAGCAGAGCGCAGGGCTCTGTTTGCTTTCATTGTAGAGGATGCCAAGTACAACTGTCCAAGGGGTGGAAACACAGCCCCACTGGATTGATCTAGACTG